TATTCTCTGGTGGAGCCCCCCCCAGGAGGAACCAGGGAGGGCAACAGAGGTCAGGGAGGTTACGGGTGAGAACGGGTCCTTAAGAGGCTTCTGCACTGTTCATATGACACCTTCGTTCCAAAGGCTAAAAGCAAAACTAGTGTGGTCTTTATATCCTTGGCGTTTGTTTTTAAATTATTGGGCACTGCACCGATAACATAAAAGCCACCGTTGGGGACTAGGCATCCCAAAATCCCCAGCCAGCACAGAGGCTTCCGTAGTCTGCCCACCCTTGGTTCTGCCGCTTCGAAAGATCTGGGGGAGAAGTTCTTCTCCGGTCTTTTCGTCCCAATCCTGCAGGCTGTGCCCCTTTCTCCGTGTAACGGGTATCACGTTTTCAGGCGGTCTCCCATCCTGTTGCCCGAGTCTCCAGTTTCTTAAACAGAAGAAGAAATAATGATCCAGCAGTTTGGCTTGGCTTTCCTCTCTGCTCCCTCTTCCTTTCACACCCTCGGTGTTTTGTAAGTCCGTCTCTTGCTAAACTCCAACGTTGTTCTCGGCTGATGCTCCTGGCGCTTGACCCGGGGTCAGATTGCTATCGGAGGGGTGTGTGTGTGTGAGAGAGAGAGAGAGAGAGCTGGCCAGCAGAACAGCTTTAGGTTAGAAACAGAGATGTCCAGGAGGTGATTTAGAGTGTTTTGAAACTCGCCCTGCTTTTTTCCCCCTTTTCTTTTGTAAATACCCTTTTTAAAATATGAGAATTGTTTTGTGACTTCCATCTGTCTCGTGGGCTTCCTTCATGGGCTCTTCCCCCCCCCCCGTCACTTCCCCGCACTCTGGTTTGATTCGAAGCACAATGGCCTGAAGTCTTCCTGGAACGCCTTACGCTGGCAAGAAGCGTTTGGAAAATCGCTTCCGTCCAGGCTGTGTTAGTGACCTAGTCCCCGCGGGGGCGACGTCGTTGGCAGCACTCAAAGTTCACACTGGATGCCGGAAGCCCGGCTCCTGACACTACACCCAATGGCAGCCAGATTATTTTGCTTTTAAAAGGCAGAATAAGTGACACGGCGAAAGCAGATCTCTGTCCCGGGTCTATTACGGGCAAAAAAAGATCGGGATAATTTTTGGTTTCTTGTGGAGTAGTGATGAGTTTCTGTAAAATAATCCCTTCCTCCTGAGGTGGATAAAAATCAACTAGCCACTTCAGTACTGCTGGGGGGGGAATGCAGTTTACACCTTAAACTTTAAAACTTGCTACCCTTTCGGTGGTGTAACAGAGAGAGAGTAACGAGTTAATCTCTAGACTGACAAGACCAGAGATCTTTCCAGATGCTTGATGAGGTAGAGAAAAGTGAATTGGAGCCAAATGGGGTGATTTTTATCTAGTGCTTAGATGGAACGACCCCCCCCCCAAAGAGAATAAAGGTCTTGTTTGAGATGGTTGGAAATTAGGCCTGGAAACCAGTGAAAGGCTTTCGCTCAAAGACTGGAAATGTTATCTTTTCAAACAAAAGTTTCCAGAATTGCCCCCAGCTATACCGGTGATTCTGGAAGCTGAAGTTTAAAACAATCCGAAACGCTTCCTAGCTCTGGATTATTGACAAGGAGATGCGATCAGGTTTTGTGCTCACCGGGAGCCTCCTTGGTGTAAGCCGCCTGCTCTGTCCTGTCCTTGATGACCCATTAGATAGCTTTAACGGGATTAAGCGGCGTCTTGGGGAGGCGTCCCTTAGTGGCGCGAGGGCTTCATTTGGAGATCCATGACTTCATAGGGTCTGTCTTCTGAGTAATCCTGTCTCAGGGCTGCAGCTGTACCAGAGAGAGGGAAGTGGGATGAATAAGATGGGAGAGCAGAGACAGGATTTTGGCTGGCTTCCTTTCCCCCCCCCCCCCGCTTTCTATTGACTTGTCTTAAATAAGAAAATATGGTGTCACCCAGAAGCTTCGTTGTTTTTCTAAAAAAAAGGGCGACAAGGATTTGGGGAGGGGGAGGATGAGTCGCCGCTTGTGGTGAGTCGGAGAGGCCTGCCGTTCCCATGAGAAAATCGCTCTTATTTCTCTTCCCCAGACGTGGGATGACACATTTTCTTACCCTCCCTGGCCATCCCTCGTGACTTACACAAAAGGTTTACAAGTCTCACATATTTGAAAGGAAACAGCCATGTTTCAGGAACATTGGCCAGCAATCCAAGGTGCATTTTAAAACTCTGCTTGTATGTGTTTGTTTGAATCAGCAGTCGTATCTCCTTTATTCATGGGATAAGAGCAGGTGTGGCCTTAGATTCTATCGATGGGGATGGAGAGAGTCACGTTCTATAACCTTGAGCTGTGAAACTCACTATTCATTCTTGGTCTCTAGTATATATATCTCTCTCTCTCCACTTGTCCTACCTCCTGGGGTTGTTTTGAGTCTACAGTACAGAAAATGGAGGCCATGCACACTGCCTTGACTCGTTGAAGGAAAGGAAGGATGTAAAGATAATGAATCAATTATATTAGAGAAGAGCTGCCGTGGATAAACTGCAGGACTGCAGTCAAGACTCCACTCGTGACCCGAGATCAATCCTGATGGGCTTTTGGGCGCCAGCTTGAGGTTCACTCAATCTTCTGTCCTTCCAAGGTCAATAAATCGACTACCCATTGACTGGTTCGGTGCTGCTTTTCCTACTCCCAGTTTTTCTGAAATGAAATACTTTTTGGGAGGCCTTCGGGTTGACTTGTAAACTCGAGGGTGTTTTTGAAGTTGGTTTAGTGTTTTTTAAAAGGTATATTCCTGTAAGCTTAGGAACCCATTCCATTTGATCGCCCTGACCCTCTGGTGACTGGAGTTCCCGTATCACCCTTTAAAAAGGATCGGCACCCTAAAAATGATGGGTGTGTGGGTGAGGGATAAAAAGGGGAGGAAGAGGATTCATCCATCCCATGATCAGCGCTGGTGTCACTCCTGATTTATCCCTCCCCACGGCTACCACCACTCAAGAGAGGCCCTAAGGGGTCAAATTCCAGTCTAACCACAGGCTCCAAAGGGTCCCCGCCAGAGTGAAATATTTTGCACCCGAGTCATCAAAGGATTTTCTAACAAGAGTTCTAATGGGGTTTTTCCTCACCCGACCCTCTCTCGTCTGGCATTGCTCTTGCAGTCTCTATGAGAACGTGAACGGTTCCACAGCAGCAGGTTTCAGGATTTTTCCCTCCGATTCCCNCCCCCCCCCCCGTCTGATGTAGAAGGATTTGTATTTCTTGAACCAAGCAGTGTCTGTGTGCAGATGCAGGAAAACCCCACCCACATCTGAGTTCTAATTATCATAATTCTGTTTGGTTTGTTTTTTAAAAAAATCCAACCATTTAGTCCGTCTGTCTACTGACCAGCCAGTGGAGATAGATAGACAGATAGACAGATAGACAGATAGACAGATAGACAGAATCATAGCATCTTCAGCATACATCTATCAACCGACCGACTCCTAGCGCCTTCCTCCACGGCCTGCCCCCTCCAGCCCACTGAGCTATACCAGCATTCCTCCATCGCAGCCTGCACGTAATGGGGTTTTGTAAGCCTGAGCAAAGAGGAGAGCGAGGCGCAAGGCATTTGGCCGGCACGCGCCAAAACCGTCCTCCTTGGTCCAGTGGAGCCTGGAAGAACAAGACCCGCAAGGAGAGACGTGTCCATACACACCAGCGTCTTTGTTCCTGTGAATGGAACTGCTCCACCCTTGACGAGCCGTATAAACGACCCTTTTAGGTCTTATTTTTCCTTCCCGTTGCAGTGTGGTTTTTGTGGGTTTTGCAACCCTTGCCTTGCCGCCCCCCCCTTTCTTCTCTCTGTCCTTTTATTGAATGGTTCGCCTCTCCCTGGAAGAATCACGCTAAATAGGTTTAGTCTTTCGGTGCCTTGATAGATATTGGCCGCTGTCCTCTGAAAGGCCCTCTTCCCTTTTCCGCGCCATGCCTCGTTGGCTCTTCCTTTCAGCTCATGGCCCTTGATGTAGCACCCGAGTACAGATGAAATATGTGCGCCGGGAGTTTGCGATCCAGTGATGTCCTTTAGTTTGCTGCCTGGATATTCGAACTGGGCTGAAAGACGGACATCGAGAGTGACAAATTTGACTCTGTGCAAAACCAGCCAAGGACATTTTTTTTTTTGCACACTGTATGGTTAAACGGTGAAACTCCCCGACACAAGATGCAGTGGTAATCGCCATCTTAAATGGGGACTGGATGGATTCATAGAGGTTAGGGCCATTAGGGACCACTCTTAACATGATGGTATAAAAAGCAAAGTGATGACAAGGTAAATGATGATACTCTTAGAACTGCAGAGCTGGAAGGGACCCTATGGGATCATCCAGTCCACCCCTTGTCAGGGAGGCCCGGGGAGGTAGGAATCGAACTCCCAGCCCCTGGCTCCACAGCCAGAGACCTGAACCACTGGGCTGTCCAGCCAGTTCTGTGAGTTATCTTTGTTTCTGGGGAGCACCGTATAACTCTAGGAGTGCTATTTTGGGTGGGGGTTTGGTCGGGGTTCCCCCAGAATGATAGTTCGGGGAACCCAGGGGTTGCCCAGCGCCCGACCTCCTTGTAGAAGCCAATAATGTTATCCTCGTAGTTCCTCATCACAGTGAGGTTGGTAAAAACGGTTCACCTGTTGCTTTTTTTCCCACTCACCCCCCCCCCCCATAATGTTATCCTCGTAATTCCTCATGAAAGTGAGGTTGATAAAAACGGTTCACCTGTTGCTTTTTTTTCTCACTCAACCCCCCCCCCCCCTCTCTTCTCCTTCTGCAGGGCCCACACATAGCTTCGGTGACGCTCGCTGCTTATGAATGTAACTCGGTGGATTTCCCCGAACCCCCCTATCCTGACCAAATTATCTGCCCCGAGGAAGAGGGAGTCGAAGGATCAATTTCTCTGTGGACCATCATTTCCAAAGTCAGACTGGAGGCTTGCATGTGGGTAAGAAACGAACAGCCCTCCCCCTCTATATTTTCCTGGACTACGAAGCCCAGACTTCCTAGCCAGCTCAGCCAGTGGTCAGGGATTCAGGGACTTGTACTCCAACAACATCTGGAACGTCAGATCCTGGGAATCGGTGAGTTAAGAGCGCTGAACTGAAATCAGAGAGGGAGGGTTTCTTCCAGGGGAAGGCTGCAGACGACTTTGGCTGCTACCGGTGAACAGCTCTCTGTGACTTTGCTGGCGTTTCCCCGAGGGAGCCTCTCGGGTTCTCACAACATGTTTTCCTTCTTGGCCTTGTTGACGAGAGAGAGAGAGAGCGTACAAATATTGCTTGCTCGTTTCCTGTAAGCTGGAAGATGCTGGACACTCCGGTCTCCTTTGCCCTAATTGGAATTAGGCCTGGAGAGGCTGCCCCTGCGCAGACTGCTTTGGCTTGGGTTTCAGCGCTAGCGAGTGCTAGCGAGAGATGGTCCATGCATGCCAGCCGTGCCTCGCTCGTGGATTTTTCGTACAGAAAGAAGAGGAAACTTGCTTGTGAATGGATGTCTCCCTTGTGATACCAAGTGAAGCTCACGAGGGCCGCTAGTAATTTTGGGGGAATGTCTGAGGCTAGGGACATGTCATTGGACCAGGAAAATGCAGTGGCAAATTCTTAATCAGCTAGGAAGCGTTGTGGCCAGTGATGCAAAACTGCTCTGGCTTTCTTTGGCCTACCTTGCTGGATTGTTTTGAACATAAAATGGAGGCGGAGGGAAGGAAGGGAAGAAAGCTGCTGTGAGGATCTTGAAGAAAAGGTTGGCTTGAAACCTTGTAACAAAAAATGTTATCAGTGGGAAAAGTGGAGGGGGTAAAGCACCCCTGAGTTAACTTCACCAGCGTGTAGCAAAATGAGGTCCATATAGTCTACTCAAACATAAAATCGAGCCTCCCGACTTAACTACATTGCAATGTGATGCCCACAACGGAAGACCACAATTAAAGGCTTTCCCAGTCACCTCTGAGTCTAAATGCTGAGCTAGGAGCAACGATAAACTATGGTCTGTCTGTTTGTCTTGACACACAAACCATGGTTTGGGTGCTCGGTGGTGGCTATAGCAGAAAACCATGGCTTGGCTTGATGATCTCAGTTGAGTCATCTTAGTTACAGCTCTAATAGTCAGTACCTAAATGGGAAACAACCAGGGATTCCCAGGTAGGACTAGGAGAGAGTCCTTCATGAAACCTCAGAGGACTATTGCTGCCAGCCAGAGCTGACAATATTGGCCTAGATAGACCAATTTCCTGACCCGGTATAAAGCAAAATTGCTAAGTTTCTGCAATTGAGTGTTTTCTCTTCTGCCCGGCATTTGAGTTATATCATTCTGAGCCGATGCTTCCCAGATGGGTCAAGGCAGATTAAGAAGCTTAGCAGAACCGGGGGGTTTCCCTACCCTTTTTCTGATTGAGCCAAGCCCCCCCCCAAAGCCGGCAGCTCTTGTAAGGATTTGTAAAGAGAGCTCATTTTTTTTACGGCTGGGGGAAAGAAGCCGCCACGGAAGAGCATTTCCTGCCCAGGGGGGTCAGCTGGAGCCACTGTGTGACTCACAGAGTTTGGGGCTGCCGCCTTGAACCCCCGCTTTCCTTGGAAATTAAGTTTGCCTGCCATGAACGGGAGGGAGATCTTCTTGAATGCAGCTCGATATGCGTAGGAAGGAAGGAGGAGACGCCGAAGGGAGTAGAAAAAGCAGCAGCCCTTCATCTCCCTGTTCAGTTCAGCCGCCCCACTTGTCCTCCAAGGCCCAGAACAATAGCTCCCAGCAAAACCCTACGGGTGGGTTTTTCTTGAGAGAGCGGCTTTCATGTTATAGGGTCTCGAAACCAACCCGTTTTTGTAGTGGGAGAGCAGAAAAGGCATCTGTGTTTTGTGCAAGGGGGAAAAGGCCTCAGTCACCAGAGGTTGAAGGAGAGATCTGTTTCATGGGATCCTATGATCTCCAGGCACGTCCGAGATGTTTGGCAAGCGGCTGCATGTGACCCGGCCCATTCAGGGAAAGTTCGCATCCAGTACGTGGAAGGCGACCTTTTATTCCTCCCTGCCTTGGTGAACAACATGCTTCCAAAACAAAGCGGCATTTTTTTAAACAGTGGCTTCTTTTCTTGCCTCAGCCCTCAGCACTCCCAGAACCTAACTTAATTTGTTCCCAGTTAATTGTTTGGCAGAGAAAGTGGGGAGGAGAGAGAGAGAGAGAGAGAGAAAAGGAGGGAATTAAAAATAGCTGTCACTTGTTTTCAAGCTGCAACCTGAAAGGCTTACAGCAGTGTTCGCATTCGTCTGTTGAAACTCATCCTTCTGCTCGGTGTGAGGGTGGTAACAGAAGAGGGATAGGGAGCACCGGGCCTGCCAGATGTTTTGGGGACTCCGGTTCCCATCCGCCTCTAGCCGACTGAGCCAACAGTGGGGGGGCTGGGAATTGTGATTCAGCAACATCTGGAGAACCAGATGTCTTCCCTAATGGAGTTGAATCTTAACCTCCATGTAGGACGGCTTCTTCCTCTCTCCGTGGACCTGCTTTCCACAGGCTGTTATCGTACCTGTTGGAGGGAACCAGCTGGCTGGTTTAGGTCTGTGGGGCCAGCGGTTGGGAGTTCGATCCCCCTCCCCCCGGGCCTCCTGAGAGTAGAGCCAGCCTGGGTGGCCTTGGGCCAGCGGCACAGGGATCCGAGGGCACCCCAGGAGAAGGGAACGGGGGAGCCACTTCTGACTATTCTCTACCTAGAAAACCCTAGAAGAGCAATCGCCATGAGTCAGAATTGACTTGGTGACTCATGATTATAACAATGATGATGACCGCATGGGATCAATGCGATGTGACGCCAAGCAACGGGAAGGCGAAGGGGAAGATGACCCAGGGCGGCAGGTTTTGGCAACTCCCCGGGGTCCGTTGTAGGGTTCATTTGAAGCAGTGCTCAGAAACATGTCCTCTCCCTCGGACTGCGACGTCCAGAATCCCCTAGCCAGCGTGGAAGTTGGCTTGGGATTCTGAGAGATGAAATACAAAACAGAAACTTAAAAAAAAAAAGCAGTTAAAAAAAACCACAGTTGCCAAACCAACCAGGATTCTCCTTGGAATCCAAGCTTATACCAGCCCTTCCTTGGGATGGCTCTCTACTCGTTTTCAGCTTCCGACCGACCAGCCAGTCGCACCTCAGTTCTGAGGTTCTGTCTTCTCCCAGCCTAAAGCAAGCAGGGTGGCTTAAGTCGTGTCATTTTCTTTTTTTTCCTTTTCACTTTTAATCGTTTGTCATCTCCAGTGCGGTGCAGCTTGGCTGGCTGGCTTTGAGTCACTGAAGAGTCGCTTCCTCCTAAGAGGTGCGCTCTCTGTGGTGCCTCCGCTCCTCCTTTGCGGTTTGCACGGCCACATCTGCGAAGATCTGCTTGCTGTGGTAGCGTTGCCTATGGGGCAGGCCGGTGCTCTGTGTTACCTTTGTGGCTTCTCCGTTCTTGCAAACCGGGGTGGTGGTGGTGGAGTTGATTGTGACTTAGCAACCCCACACCTGATCTGAGCTGGCACCTTCTCACTGTTTTGGACTACATGTCCCATGAGTTGCAACCATGAGCCATGCTGGTGAGGGCGGATGGGGATCATCTTTCCAGAACATCTGGAAAGTGCCAGGATTATTGTTCTCAATGCCTCTCCCTTTTCTTCTAATGGACTCAAATCTGAGGTGTCAGATTGGGGCCTCTCCCCTGCACTGTATTGTCACAACAGTCTTGCAGGGTAGGCCAGGCTGAAAGCGATCAAGAGGCACGAGGTGGGGGGGAGGAAGAGCGAATGTGAAATGTATTAAACAGGCAACAGGGAGCACTTTTCATGTATTATGTTCTGCTGTGTGTGGGGGGGGCGGAGGTGCTCAAAGCTGCTGCATTTCTGCCGGGCAGGAGGTGAACAAACAACGAAACAATTATAGGTTTGCTTTAAAAAGTGGGGGCTGCAGAGAAGCGTGCGTCGCTCTGAGCAAAAACATCTGCCTTGCCGCTGAGGTGTGTCCCTCCTCCTGCCAGCTGTCCGATTGTTGTCCCGGGTACCTTTCCTGCCTTTTCTAAGCCTCCCGCTTGGACCCTAGCCAGGTTTCCTCCTCCGCTCATCTTTGATTAGCCAGATGGCTGGGGCAGAATTGTGGATGTCTCTAAAAACACCCCAAGACAGGCTCTCTGAACTGGCAGGCTTGGAATGGATTCACTGGTTGGTTTAAAATGTTTTGTACCCTGCCTTAAAAAAAAAAAAAGGACCCAAGGGGGCTTACATTCTTAAAAGAGGCTATTTAAAGCTAAAAATGGTAAGTATAAAGAAATAAGGGTCAAATTAATGGCACTCTTAAAAAGCAGTAAGCGAAAGCAGCACCGAAAACACGTTCAAAGCAGAAAGGCATCACCGTCCATCTAAAAGCCCCACAAAGTCCGCCAGTCATTGAGGGAAAACTTGTTTGAAGAGAAAGGTCTATTTGCCTGCTTGCCAAAGGAGAGCCAAGAGGGGGCCCGGCTGGCCTCCAGTGGGAGGGAGTTCCAGAGCCTGTGGGAGCAGCTGCAGAGAAATGCTCTCTCTCCTGGGTCCCCACCAAAGGCTTCTGTGAAGGCGATGGGGCCGAGAGAAAGGCCCCTCCTGATGATCTTTGGGGAAGGGAGGTTGTCTTCAGAAAATAAAATGGCTACTTCTCCCAATAGGATCTCACTGATTTGTCCCAGGGGATGATGGGAGTTGTGAATAGGCAAAAACAGACATAAACACTTTGAATAATAGTGGTGGTGGTAGCAGCGGAGATGGTCTTGTTCCCGTGAAATGAAATTCATAGCAGTGGTCAGGTGGGATGTAGTGATCTCGCTGGTGGTCGTGTGATGAGGATATTGCTGGCTGGGGATGCTGGGAATTGCAGTCATCTGGAGGACAGCGGACTGGGAAAAGTTGTAGATCCACTTCATCAGTGGGGTGTTGGCTTGCAAGAGATTCACTGGGAAGTGGGAAATACAATTCAGGGTCGCCCAAAAAAGGGATTAAATGCAGTACGAGTGTTTGACAAAATAAACTCTCGTCCACAAAACGATCAACCCAAATAAGTCACTTGGCTGTTCAGGTGCTCTTTTTTTGTTTCTCAACAGTGCTTGAAAGAGGTATTTCTCCACTTGTCGTTTCTTTAAATCTGAATGTTTTAAGTCACAAAAAGTAGCTGAAAAAAAATTGTCTCCTAAATTTTCTTGCCCATATACGAGGGGGTGAATTTTGAGAGGCCCCTGTTTTCCGATAGCCTTGGATAAATATAAGTAAATACTGTTTTTATCGAGACAGGCCCCTGCCACCTAAGGCTGGTTTGAATTGATGCAGGGGGTTGTCTCTTCGACTCGGTCTCTTTCTAAATGCTTTTTTTTAAAATTTTGTGCTTCATTTTTAGCTTGAATGCTATTGCTTGCCACAACATTCTTGTTCGAAATTCAGTCACCTTGGGATGTTGTTGTTACCTTTCGGCAGGAACACAGGGGAGAGTGTTTCGTAAACAAACAAATGTTGCAGAAAGGAGCAGACTCTGATCCGTAGAGCGAGCAGCAGATGTAGGGAAACCCCAGTGGTTGCTATCATGGATCCAGCGCATCGATCCATGAAAATTGGAGCTGCCCGCTTTGCAAAAATTGCAAAATTTCTCAGTCTCTCTCTCGGTGTGTGTGTGGAAAAGGCAGGCCTTTCTTCTGCCGCTCTGATCCTCTCCTCCCCCCCCCCGTTCTCTCCTTCCAGGGTGCGGGAACAGCCATCGGAGAGCTGCCTCCATACTTCATGGCGAGAGCCGCCCGTCTCTCCGGAGCAGAACCCGATGATGAAGAGTACCAAGAATTTGAAGAGATGTTGGAACAGGCAGAGGCAGCTCAAGTAAGGGTGCGCCAAGAGGGACATCTTGTAGCGGGTAGTTCCAAGGGCCTGCTTGATAAAATTATCACAACAACCAACCGGTATTCCCTGGAGTAACGTGCAAAGCCCCCCCTGACGTGCCCCGTCCTTTGCCATCTCATGAGTGTTGCTCCTGGTGTTCTAGATCGGCTCCCATGCCATTCCACATGGGAGGGGGGGAAAAAAGCCAAAAAAAGAGATATAAAATGCTGGTAGCTGTTCTGTGTTACTATATTAATCTTTTGTTTGCTCCCCCCCCCATTCACTGCTCTGTCTTCCTTTAACAAAACAAGAACTTAGAAGGGGATTGAGGCAGCTGAGCATTCAGAGATGGGGGGGAGAACTATAACGGCCAGTTTGGGAACGATAGGGCATCATCCGTCATTGTTAGGGCAGCTGGGAATTTTCTGAGTCTGTCCCACACATTTTCCCCCCCACACACACACAACACACACACCTCTTTTCTTTCTTTAACTCCTCCTGAGCTTTTGCTGGTTGTGGTTTTTGCTCCCATCACATGATTTCTGTAAAAGCCTCCCCCCCCCCTTTTCTCCATTTCCAGTAAACTGTTTGAACAGGGATGAGTCAGAATGAAACCAGCTTCCCTGTAACCACAGGCCTTGTTGAAGAATTTGTCAACGTGGACTCCAGAGGGAGAGAGAGAGAGAGAGAGAAAGCATGTGTGTGTGTCTCTTTATTTTTCATATCCAGTTTAATCTTGTATATCTTTGGATGAATGCTGTGTCAGAGGGTTCCGAGTGGATGATTTCCTGCCTGGGAGAGCAGGATGGAATCAGCTCTGTGGCGTTAGTAGTCAAATCCCAAGGATGAACTTTGCTGATAGAGAGCCGTGATGGCTTACGGTCTTGTCTTCCCAAGCTTCAGTGTGGAGTTTCTCCTCTCTCCCTGGGGTTCGTTTCCTGCAATAGCGGGACAGCCAAGTACAGTACGCCAGTTACGCCCTACCGCCTTCAGGTCTTGAGGACTTGACGGCGAGTAGGTGTTTTGTCCGACCGATTTAATAGTTGCCCATCGGCAGGTGCGCGGCTAAACTTAAAGCAGACTTTAGTGGAAGGCGGCTACCCGCTGCGTAGTCCCTTTGTGTTAAAAACAAAAACAGTCGGCTTAATCCAGTTTTGTTCTCAACAAGGGTAGACCCATGGGAATTATGGAAATGGCCGCCCAGAGTAGCCCTGGCTGCCAGATGGGCGGTCTATAAATCAAAATAATCATAATAATGGTGACGGAGTCAAGTTTGTTGCCATGAGTCTGCTCTAATTGGAAGCAAGATTTACTTATTCCTTGTTTAACCTTTATTCTCATCCTAAGAGTTTAAAGTGCCAAGCAAGAACAGCAACAAAGAACTGTGAACAATTAAAAATATCCTTTTGCTTCTTAAAAAAACAAAACTGCAGCCAACCGGAGTCAGCCGTTCAAATATTTAAACGAGCCCGCTTAAATGTGGTAGATTAACGAAACAAACAACACCCTCAGGACTCATGCCTTTCTAAAGCTAATGTTTCTTTTCTTTTCTTTTTCGTTTGATCAGCTGATCTTTATGAGGTTTTAATTATGGGACTAGCTGTTCTCCTGCTGTGGCTTATAGACACTGGTAGACCCAATATGGTTTTCCGCCCGAGCTAGAGAGATGAGCTCACGTTTTGGGGATTGTCTGTTTGTAATAAATGGGACGAAATCAGAAACCAGGGACACTTTGTGAAATGTTGCATGAGTCTCGGCTATCATCATCATCTCGGAACTGTAGAGCTGGAAGGGACCCTATAGATCATCTTGTCCAGCCTCTGTCAAGGAGACCCAGTGGGGGAATCGAACTCCCAACCTCTGGCTCCAACAGCCAGATGCTTAAACCACTGGGCTATCCAGGAGCTCCATATAAGTAGCCTGTTGAGTATTCAGGGTGGAAATGGCAAAACCCCACCAGATCCATCACCATTTATTTATTTTATTATATCATTTCTACTTCTTGAGAGTTGGGTGGCAAAATGCCTTTGGAGTTTGATGGCTTAGTAGAATCTGGTATTGCACTACAGATTCCTCATTGAAGGGGAGTTGCTCCCGGGGAGCTACTCTTCCCCCTCCATTCGGCACTGGTTAGGCCTCATCTGCGCTATTGTGTCTCGTTCTGGACACCGCACTTCGAGAGGGATGCTGACAAACTGGAACAAGTTCAGAGGAGGGCGGCAAGGATGATATCAGGGGACTGGAAACCAAGCCCTAGCAGGAAAGGCTGAAGGAACTGGACATGTTGAGCCTTGAGACCGAAGGGAGGTATGATGATAGCACTTTCCATATCCTTGAGGAGGGAGGGGCAGGATCTGTTCTCGATCGTCCAAGGTAGTCCTGCAGAGGTGGGAGGGGCAGGATCTGTTCTCGATCGTCCCAGACTGCAGGACACATCATAATGGGCTCAGTCTACAGAAAGCCAATTTTCATCTGAATATTAGGAAAACTTCCTGTTAGAGCCGTATGACAACGGAACTGATGACCTTCGGGAGGGGGTGAGGGCTCCACGGCTGGAGGCCTTCAAGAGAAAACTGGGCCACCCTCTGTCCAGCCTGCTTTGATTTGGATTCCTGCCTTGAGAAGGGGGTTGGTCTCCATGGCCTTAGGGGCCCCTTCCATGATTCTAGGAGTCTGTGAGATCTTCCCGGTTCTCAGTCCAGTTGAATTCACCCTGGGAAATGCCAATGATATAGTTTGGTTAACTTCAAGCCTGCCTGCTCTGTCTGTTTGTCTCCCTCCTGGCAGAATTGGCAAAAGTTTATACTCGGCCACCAAACCGGAATTAGAAAACCTTACGGCCGCGTTCACAATGTGACGTTCAATGCCTTTATTTATGTTTTTTGAGGGGAGTTGTAATTAACCGCTGAGCAGCCTAAAATGGTCAAGGCGGTGTGAACCGACCTGTTCTTTGCGTAAGAGAACCTGGGAGAATCGTTTGGGTTTCCACATGTTTTGGTTAGTTCGTGGTATGGGTTGGCGAGGTATGTGTTACAACGGATGGATCGGTTCCCCCCCTCCCCGGATGACAGATTCCAGAAAGAGACGTCCAGTTTTCCAGCTGCTGGAAAGCAAAGAAGAACGCTGTGCCCACAAACTTCTAACAGACCAGATAAAATGAGGGAAAACATCCTGTTTAGGTGGAAAGAGGCAGGGCTATGTATTCCGAAAGAAGCCAGCCAGAAGAATCATTTATAATAAATAATAGTCTGCAGAGTTAGGATTCTTGGTTCTTTTTCCCCCTTGTATGTGTCTTTTGTGAGAGACTGTTCAGAAATAAAAGGACACGGTAGATTAAAAATAGATGATGACCTTTGTTCAGTGTTGGTCCCAGTTTGATTCGAGCAGTTTGAGGTGACTGGGATTTGCAGAGAGAAAGAGAAGGGGGGCTAGAATAATAAAAAGGTTGCCAAACTTTCGTTTTCCCAGGCATTGTTTCATCCCTTGAAATCAAGTGGCATAGAGTTTCTTTACTGTCCACCTTTCCCAACCATCCATGGTGGTCAGAGATACAAGAGTGTGGATGAAGTTGGAGGTTGGTTGCTCTCAATGGCTTTTGTGGTACACAGTTAGATTTTCTTTTTCTTTTTTCCTTTTTTTTTTAAGCGTCTTTTCCCTTCAGAACCCTTTGGCTTCTGTCCCATGGAAACCTCGGCCCGTTTTTACCAAATGCTTTCCCGTGTCGCTTTTGTGCCGACGAGGGCACACGGTTCGACCAAACGTGTCTTCCCGAGCTGGGAAGCCGATGGATCTCTTTCCCTGTCTCTTTGCTGACGTCGGCCGGCCAGAGTTTTCTGCTGGCCGTTTCTCTCCCTGCACGTCATGCCCTCCCGTAAGCCAAGCTTCTGTTTCTGTGTGTTTTTTAAAATAAAATAAAGTTAAAAAAAAATCCTGCTCCAGTTGGCTCCAAAATTCTCCGCCACTTTGATTGCATGGCTGTTTGGACTGCCAGATTGGGATGGATGAAAACTTTTGTTTCCTGTGACTTCTTCGGAGTCCTGGCCAGCTAGAGTCATGCTTAAAATAGTTCATAAGTGGCTTTCACAAAAGGGAGAGTTGGAGAAACAGGGGGAGGAAGTCATCATCCTCATCATCACCACCCAGAAGTCTTTGATTTGGGCTCGGCTCCAAATGGCAGCTTTTTGTGGGTCCTGTGGACCATTTCCTTCAACCTTTCCTTCTTCCTCTCAATCTGTTAGCCCTCTTCCTTCTCTCCTTCCTTCCTTCCTGTCTGTCTGTCTGTCTGTCTCTCCCCTCGGTTTAATTTCCCCCTTTGCATCTGGCCTGTGTTGCGTCAGTGGGTGTCCACCGGGAAATTTCAGTCTGCATGTCATTCATTCCTAAACCTTGAGGCATTCATTTTGTTAAATACCTACGTGGGGCGGATCTCTCCTTTCACCCCTTGGGGCCAAAGCTCTGCATGAGGACAGCTTTTGCCTCCTTTCCCCCCCACATTGCAATTTTTTTTCTGTTTAGCAGCAGGCGGGCTTGATGGATGGGGTCTCTTCACCAAGACCCCCCCCCTTTTCACAATAGGACAGGGGACCACCAGAATTTGCAAACAAGCGTTCTCAGTGTCTGTTTCTTATCTCTGAAACCCCTTCGGTTTGATGTCCTGATCTCTTATCAGCTTGGGTAAATACTGCCAATCCACTTTTCTCTCATCAGCAACACAAGTGCTGAGGAGGTGTAGAATTGTTTTAGGCAGATTTAAGTGTTTTAACTGAGCCTTTTTCTAAACTTTTCTCCTGCAACCAAAATGTTGCGAGGCACTTTAGAAGGTGGGATTGAAAAGATTTTAAAAATGCTTTGGGGCATAGACTTCCCCCCCCAAGGACAGAAATAGGATGTATTATTAAAAGGTGATAGAATTGGTGCAGAGAAGAGGGTTATTAACACAAACCTTTGGGCGCCTGTTTTCTAGGGGGCAGGGAAGTACCTTATTACCAGCTACAATTAGCCAGAGC